CCCCTATGGTTGTTGCAAGCCGGTCCCAAGGCCGTATAAGTTGGCATGGAAACATCCAACGAAAGTGGGAGGGACCCTGGGCGAGGGTAGCTTCCTTGGCTAGAGTACTTCGCTATAGAGCTAGTCTAATAAACAAAATATATCGATCCCCGAACACGACGACGTCGGGCGGGTTGATTAGGGTGGAAGCCGGCACTAACTCTGAAGGGTGCAAGTGGCAGACGAATGTGGGTTCGACCTGAACAATCTGAAGCCCTACATCGGATGTAGTACATCTTACAGAGCGTCAAAAAAGGTGAAGGTGAGAGGTGTCACGAAATGGATAAGGAAGAGAATAATGAAGCGAGAGAAGCGTCTGAAAGGAACACGGAGGGAAGATTTAAGGGCGGAATCAAAAAAGTCGCTAATAAAGAGAAAATCAAAATTGAGATTTGAAATGTTAACACTATGAGCACAAGCGGGAGTGTCAGCCCTATGACGGAAGATCTCCTGGATAAAAAGGTCTCTCGCTTTGCAGGTTTCATTGAGTAAACAAAACACCCAACAATCGCACTGTCGAAGTACGATAGTAAGCGAATGTAGTAAATCACAGCTCCTCCAATACAGTAATGACTAATACGTCATACAACTAGCGCTAAGAGACAGCGTAAACAAGACGCAAGACGACAATAACACAATCATATAAAATCAGGTATCATTATCTTGCTGCCCTTGCGATTCTTCACTTCATGCCGAAACTGGCACACTCCCGGCCGGCGCAGACCTCAAATTGAAAACACTTTCGTTCACAATCTTACCATTAGACATCAATCTCACCTTTCGGATGCTGTCGTTCGGTTTATCAACAATCTCAACTTCCTCCCAACCGGTGTTGAGTTTACCATAAGGACCTGGAGTTGGCCTCCAACGGAAGGCACGAGGGCTCTTAACGAGAACCCTACCCGCAGGCATTGCCTCTTTGTCCGCGATACAAGCCTCTCACGAGTCTCTCGTCTACGAATCCACCGAATATCGGCAAGCTTTCGCAAAGCTACGAGTCTACCTTCGGTAACCTTATCAAAGTGGTCATTGGCAGTAACTTCATCCCACCACGAGGGTGGTTCCAACCCATCAAACACCGCCTTCTTAATAGATTCGGCTTCACTCATCGCTGAAGAGTCATCAATTTTACGACCATGCGATCGGCAGATGAGTGTAGGAGTGGGTGGGCTTTCACTAATGAAAGGTGTGTTATTACATACCCAGATAGCCCGATATAGGAGCTGAACAGACTCCTCCTCCGAAGGCAGCGACTTCGTCTTATTAGAAATGTCCCACAGAGCTCCCCTCAACAGTGAATCATCACACATCCCGATGCGGACGCTCACCCCATGCTCGTAGTTTCTCTCCACGTGGAGGAGTAGAAACAACAAGGAAAGCCAACGCCTTACCCAGTGATAAAACTTCCGGCACTGAGAGTCCTTGATCAACAACAAGTAGCCGAATCGGACCTCCTTCAGTAATTATCTGCCTCAACAGTCTCGCTCCAGAATAGCCTGTTTTATCATGACTCACCATAGCCTTGAAAAGTCTGCTGGCGTGGCAGCATGGAGTAAAGCAATACAGCTTCTGTTGAGAGGAGTCGGTTGAGCTTCGAGACACCTCATAGGGTCCAGTCACGTCATAATAAGCGACAGCAAAAGGACCGAACTGAGCAGAGCAAGCTGGGGGTCGTGAAGGTACCAAGCATGGAAGTTTTCGGTGAGGAGTACAGACAGAAAGCCTATGAACGAAGTTCCTTCAAGGGAGCTCACGGCAGGCTTCCCATTCATATGCTACATAGCGCTGGAGTACTGAGAGCCGAATTCCACTCATCATTCCGCATGAGATACGAAAACGATGCAATGAGATGAATTGCGAGAGCCAGTTGTAGTTTCTCTGAAAGAATGATTTTTGCCAGTGCTAAATCGCATGCTGGTGAAGTGGGATTTCTTCACATTTCGTGCTCATCTTGTCCCCGGGATTTTCAGTTGCGTCTCCACTTATAGAGGCTTCTTATCCACGGAGCTTTCATCAACCTTCGCGTTACGCCTGCGAATGAAAAAACGCGAAAATAACCTCAAGGGGAGGCGATTGATCGGCCTGTTGCGCTTCTCTGCCCCTAATTTGCCGGGCGTGCGACCCGGCGGTCCACCACTACGTCCCATAAAACGGTGTGCAAAGAAAGCTGCACGAGATCTCTCAGTTCAAGTGGCACGTAGTACAGCCTAAGTTCGATGCTTAGCCTCTTCTAGAGAGAGATAAAGCGAACATCTTCTTGAGATAAAGCAAACATTCGACCCGCAAAATCCAGAATCGACCGCAATCGACTGACAACGCAACAATAGTCGGTGAGATAAACTCCCACAATAGGTTCAGTGAAGACGTGTCAGTGACGAGGGGTACGTAAAATGTATCCCGAACGGTCTTGAAGACAGATGACCACGATTAGCTCTATATAAATATAGGATGATAAAAACACCAGAAATCTACCAGAAACCCGTTATACTGGGACTCAATGACCTAGTATAATGGTTAGGTCGATTCCAGTGGACGGCCTGATGCCCGAGGACCTGATCCAACACAACCACCATGGGAGCTGGAGTCGAGTCCCGGCAGTTTGCATACTACGGATACTCAACCACCATACGAGTACGAATTAGCCCGACAGAAACGATGGTAGTACTGTCGTACTGTCGTACTATCAAAGTAGGAAGTACCCCTCCCCGAGACGATCCCAAGTTTTATATTTTTCTCCTCCCATACCTACCCACGACAAAAATAATATAATATAACAAATCGCCGGAAGGATGACGACGTTCTCCCGACCCCATAATTGCTACAGCAAACCTACAATAAGAGCTTCTATGTTACTATGATAGTAATACTATCCACTGCCAAGTGGCAAAAAGCGTGCAGAATAGGGACAGGAGATTCGTGCATCTTGCAAGAATAGTGACCAGCCTCGAAGAATATAGTGATGTTTGTCGCGTGCGATAAGGTGCCCCGGGCACTGCCTCCCAACGGGTACTTTATGCCCCCCCCAGAATATGCATTTTTATTGTATATTCGACTTTGAGGCGTTTTAGCAGATTACGATGATGACAGATTGTTCTCAAGCGAGTTGATGGTAGTAGTAGCGTTTCTGAGTTTCATTCATTCAATGACCCAAT